ATACCATAGACAGGGCATTCAAGAAATCCCTCAAATCCACTTTAAGCGACAAACCGCACAACATCGCAAAACCTTGTGTGTGAAAAAACTGGGCCCCCACAGCGTTCCTTTCTGAAAAGGAATGGGTGGGTGCGAAGCCCTTGGGCACGCCGACCATTGTGGGCGTAGTAGTAGCAGTCGTCGTAGTAGTAGTAGTAGTTGTTGTTGTGGTAGTAGTAGTAGCAGTAGCAATAATAGCAGTAGTAGTAGTAGTAGTAGTAGAAGTAGTAGTGGTAGTAGTAGTAGTAGTAGTAGCAGTAGTGGCACTAGAAGTAGTAGTCGTAGTAGTAGTAGTAGCAGCAGCAGTAGTAGTAGTAGTAGTAGTAGGTATAGTAGGTAGTAGGTAAAGGTAGAAGATAATAGGTGGTAGGCGGTAGGTGGTAGGTGGTAGGTAGTAGGTAGTAGGTAGTAGGTAGTAGGTAGTAGGCAGTAGTAATAGTAGTAGTAGTAGTAGTAGTAGTAGTAGTGGCAGTAGTAGTAGCGCCAGCAGCAGTAGTAGTTTAGTAGCAGTAGTAGTAATAGTAGTAGAAATAGTAGTAGTAATAATAGTAGTCGTCGTAGCAGTTGTCGCAAGAGTAGCAGTAGTAGTACTACTACTACTTCTACTACTACTACTACTACTACTACTACTACAACTACTACTACTACTACTACTACTACTACTACTACTACTGCTAGTATATTTCGTAGTAGCAGCTGTCGTAGTAGCAGTGGTCGTAGTAGTAGTAGTAGTCGTCGTCGTCGTCGTAGAAATACTCGTTGATGTACTAGTTGCAGTAGTAGTCGTCGTCCTAGTAATAGTAATCGTCGTCGTCGTAGTCGTACTAACAGGAGAGGTAGTTGCCGACTGACTGACTGACCACTCGGGCTGGGCCGACCAACTGACCGACTGACCGACTGCCTGGCGCTCGGCGCATGGACCAACCGACTGACCGCTCGATTGACTGACTGACTAACCAGCGCACTCACATACCAACCGACGGACCGACTGACTGACTGACCGGCGGGGCGGGCTCGCCGATCGACGGAGGACTGACCGACTGACTGACTGACTGACTGCCCCGCAGGCTCGTGGATCGACTGACCGATTGACTGGCTGACTGACTGGGAGCTTGAAGCCATTCAGGCGAAAACCAAAACAACATTCGCAAAAAGAACCCCCAACCCGAGAATTCTTGAAGCTGACCTCAAATCTCATCCCCTTACAGCTCATCTTACTATCTCCAGATCCCCCGACACCTCGGATGAAAACTGGCGTGGGCAGACGTGGGCTCGTTTTCGGTGGTCGGACGAACACGGAGCGGAGTCTCACGCTTGTAACCTCACCACTTTGCTGCAAAGCCGCGACAGAGCAGTTCAGTGCGGGAGCATCGCCACCACTTCTTCGGTTATGCATCCATTCATGTCTAGTGGCTGCCCAGCGGGAATTTTGTCGATACTCGCGGGACGTCAACGCTCGATCGTCTTCTGTCGCACTCGGCCATGAGGAAACTGTAGGCTTGGCTCGAGCTGTGCCTCAAGGTGGAAGTCCTTGTTGATCCGACAGCTCGCAGGCAGAGACACAAGCACTGAGACTGAGCGCGTCGAGCCGAAGCCTCGGAAGAACCGGAGAGCAAAGCGTCGCGTGTATGGCCCCCTAGGTAGACAGTGGACAGGCACAAAAAAAGCACAGCCCAGCGTCCTGTTTGTCTGAATCAGCCTCCGCTGACACAGTGCAGATCTCCAGAGAGACGGAGATACGCATGAGTCCAGGACTGCGGTGTGTGAAACAATGTCAGCGACTAGCCGCAGAGGTCGCATGGCCTGCACCACAGGACACAGTACCACAACCAATGACACATGTGCGCAACCTGCCCCAAATTGTCCTAAGACACTGTGCCAGTAGCGAACCGAGCAGTGGCTTCTGGCAATCCTGGCGTGCGCCTCAAGCAAGCTCATCGTGGCTTGCCATGCAGCTGCTGCAGCGCAGGCAGAGAGCACAGCGTTGTAGGTCACGACGTTCAGTTGGCAAGACAGCAAGCCTGCTGTGCAGTAGAGGATACCACTTCGATTCACAAAGCTACGAAGAACTGTTTCATGCGCTCTCCGCAAACGGTGCCTAGTACAAGGTGCCACTGTCCAACACACGCCGCGATAGTGGCACTTCGCGGCTCACCACGCTCCTTGGAGACTCTGAGCCGCCCGAGCCTCGCACACGAGTGCACGTGCGAGTTCGTACATGTTGACTCAAAGACTCGTCGACTCACACTCTCTCGACCTAAAGTGGGGACCAGCAGCATGGACATCAGGGCCAGCGCATCTTCCCATCGACGTGCACCAGCGAGCCCAGTTGCCAGAGCAGTTGCACTGAAGCCATCCGGCACCAGGTCCCTCTGAAACCACTGAAAGGCTAGCTCCCAGCGAGCCGCCTGCGTGGCAAGTCACAGCAAATGCACCCCGCACACTGCACTCTCACTACGGCAACACCTCACTGAGCACGCCCAGCAGGGTGTTAGACGTCACCCTGTCCTGCATTGCCCGAACCTCGTGGCTTGTCATCAGAATCAGAGAAAACATCAAGCTTTTGCACAAGGCCTGAGCCATGACACCCAGCAAGCTCAATCCAAATCTCCACTCGGAGGCCTCTCAGGGCTCCAGGATATGCTTTCCACACTGAACTGGCATGGCTGCCACTTCTGGCCGCTACACCGCAAAATGCCTGCACTTTCTCCTCAGTCGCTGCACGCTCTGCCTAACGCGGCAATCCAGGACATCCAAAACACTGGGCGATGTTAGCCACCTCCGGCCCGCTTGGCATGCTTCGGCCATCGCACAGCCCGCAGCAACATCTTGGATGTTGTCAGGCAACTTTGGCCGGCTGGAAGCAGCATGCAACACCAGTTGCCATTGCGCGGACTTCGCGTAGCTCCCCAAAACTGTGCTACGCGCCACGCCATCTTGCAGGCTGAAACGTTGCATATCATTGAAGCAGTGCATCACGTGTTTCCACTTGTGCAGATTCGCGAAAGATGCCAACACCTTCGCTTTGCGTGAGACGACGGATAAATATCAGGCACACACACCACATGGCGGGGGTAAAAACTACCTTGAGTCGGGCTGTGCAGGGGAGCGGCAGCATAGAAACAGATGCTGTCGGCTGCGACGGTAGCATCTCTCATGCTCCGGAATAGGTCGCTTGCCGGACGCCACTTGGCAAGACGCTGGCAGGCCGTGATTGCAGAACTGAAGCTGAGATAATCCGCCTGGAGTCTCCGTGAGTGTGCTCTGCACAGCAATGCCAGGGCCCGTTCCCACTGAAGCGCACGGGCTGATGCACTGACTGCTGCATTATAGCCTTGGATGACAAAGCTGTGGGAACGGTGTCATAAACACTGACTCCCCGGCTTCACCGAACGTTATAATGGCAGACCAGTCTCAGACGATGCTAGAAAGTCCTGCATCATCCAGAGCACCGATGGCAACACACCACTCATCTCTGCAAGCGCTGATGACGGAGCTCCATGAGAAAGCATCCTGGCTGCTGGGAGCCGACAGGCGGTCAAAATCGCTACAGATGGTATCAAATCGAACAAACTCGTCGTAGACAGGCGAGTCTCCGGGGCAAACCAGCAACATGACATCGCGTTCAGAAGCTGCAAACTGAATGCCCAGAGTCCAGCTGCTGCATATGTGCTGAGGCATGTGTTGAAACTAATCCGATCTGGGATGCGCTGATCTACCATACTCATCAACATAGTCTGTGTGTGCCGCCAACTTCCTGAGTTCCATGACTTTTGCAGTAGAGATTCGCACATGCCAGCTGAGACTCGGACTGCAGGTACTGATAGCGCTGTTGAAGGTGATCTCGTTCGTTTCGGTGCCAGCTTGTCTCATATGCTGCAACAGGACGAGGGCCTGGATCCAAGCCGCAAGCTTTTCACATGAAGAAATGGCAATGTTGCCATTGGTCACATCTGGCGATATCAGCAGCTGCGACATGTGCTGGAAGACACTCACTGCGCGGGTCCACTCGGCACCGTCCGAGGCAGTAGCCTGCCATGCACCCCAGTGTTCAATCAGAGTTTTCAGGTAGGCTGTCTTGGACAGTCTTGGTGTTCTGCCGGGCAGCCAGAGAGATTCTGTCTGGCAGCAGATCACAGCAGATTTGAGCTGTCAAAACTCCTGCGGCCTGCACAGCAACTCCACGAAGCACAGCAACTCCACAGCATCAAAACTGGATAGGTACCTGGCGCCAATTCCCACTTCTTGCACATGCGCTGGCCACCACACTGAAAGTCGTCAAATCCTGAATGCGGGGCAGGAGGAAGACATCGACTAGAGCACGGCAGCGAGTGCACGCTTGCTGAAACAAGGGCAAGTAGCTGTTCGCAAGGAAGCCTCCGTAAACTGCGTCAGCAACAGGTGAGCCCTTGCCCACCTGCTTGCCTTGCGGCAGCTTCCGGTGCATGCGTTGTAGCCTCGTGTCCATCTTCCCCTATCAAAGACAACACACAAAGCGCAGCCTGGGCTCCAGACTGAACTGATTGGGAACGATGCCCCGCTCTTTCGCTTCACGTAAAAGGTTGCAAGCCAAGCGCCATCTGGAGCCGCAGTCGGTCAGCTTGTGTGTCAGCTGGGTGAAGTCTGCTAGTTGGTCTTTTCTTGTCTGCATTTTGCACCTGCAAAATCACCACTCCACGCCCATGCAAGGAGTCTTGTGGCTGCTTGTTCTCGTAGCCAGCGTCATGACATAGCTCTCCTTCCACCAACATCGCGAGATCCTGTCGTCAAAAGCAAGGAACTAACGGACTTGAGAGAACGCCAAGGACTGCAAACAACAATGAACTCACGGCAACACAAGGCAGCTGGCCACTGCACCAACGATGTCGCCACCGCTCCTAAGCTCCTACAGATCATCTTGTTACATCGACATACGTGGACGATACATGGTTGCAGAGCTGTGTGCACGCAGGATTGTCCTATTGCTGGCAGCCGGCAGATGAACATGCAGCCGGGACTCTTCTGATGCTCTCGCTGTTCACAGCATCCAATAACGAAGTATCCAAAGCTCGCAGAGCAAATGCACACTGCGAAGCAGAAATGCTACAATAGCTAAACAGAGAATGCTTGTTAATCCTGTCTTTGATCTATCAAACGCCCTCACTCAGAGCTTGGCAGCTTGAGCCTAAAGCCATTTTCAAGCTCTCAAAGAGTCATGAAGGGTCGGAAGGAACACGGCTTGCGCCTCTCGGAGAGTATCAACCATGGCATTGAGAGTGCTGATCTGGAACGTGCCCAGCGAAAAGGTGGAATCCAGCAAGGAAGCGGCCATCGTCCAGTGAAGCTCAGGCGAGGTGACGGCACTTAAAAAGCCTGGAGCGAAGGAGCATGATCTTGGAGCGATAGCATCTCAAGCAGCAGAAATCGAATAAAACGAGTGCCGGCCAGGGGCTCACTGTGTCGGGCACGAGAGCAGCGCTTCGGCTCGAATCCAAGAGAAACACCAACCTTTGCGTCACCGCAAGGTACCCGTGCTGAACCCGTGCTGAACCGAGTCTCAAGATTTTGCTGACTGCAGCACGATTGTGGCCAGCAGAGCATGCGCTGAAGTCCAGCTGCAAGAGCACTGTAGCTTGAAATGCTTCTGCTCAGTTGAAGTGTAGCCTCAATGGTGCCAAGCTGGACCCTCTGTCACAAGTCACAAATGTCACCCCAGGAAATGATGCACATTAGCAAACTAACATGCCTGCAGGACGCTATCGACACAAACATGCAAAGTCCATGACGCCAGTTTCCGTGTGCTGCACTGCTCGCCGCTATAGCAGTGTTGAAGCTGATCACCGTGGAAACAGGAGCCGACGGATCAATCACCATACCCTGATACTGCACTTTGCACAGAATCTCCACAGAGCTAGAAAGGATTGTATTTCCACAAGACAAGGTACATCAGATTGGCACTTGTCTCGTAAAGTCGTAAACGCAAACAACCGTTCTCAAACCACGCCAAGCTTCCACAACCGTTTCCCAACAACTTGCTCTTTCACAGGCACAGAGCAGACTGTTGTGGGAAAAGACGTTGCTTTGTCCTGTTGCACTTGACGATGGCAAGCGATTCTGATTCTACCAGCATTCCAACGAACTGGATGAGTGAAGCGAAAGCGTCCTTTATGGAACCTGTGGAACAAGGAGGCATGCTGCCATTGCTTCTGGCCGACTTTGTTCAAAGCGCAAGCTGCCCCGATTGTCGTCAAAGTGTAGCTGTCGCCGCGGATCTGCAGGCCAATAGTGGCAGGCGTGTGGGATTCAGACTGCCTACCACCACTTTCAAACACTTTCACAAAAGGAGCAGTAAGCGCCTGCATCTTTGCAAAGCCTGTCAGCTGTGACAATGCGAAGGCCCACTGATGGAGGGATGACGGTGCTCCGGTTGTGACCGTCGAAGCGTGCAGTAGAGAGTTGCAGCTTGTCCTCAACACATGTCAAAAACTCATTGCTACATCCCCAGCTGCAGATATGAAAACATGAACCGACTTTGACCCTATACATCGCAACTGCACGTGCGGCACACCAGGAATTGCTGGAAAGGTGTCCGGCTCAAACGAAGACCAAGAGAACGCATCGACGACAGGAAGCGCAATGCCCGCTGCCAGTCCTCCAACATGCGCACATTCAAAGACCCCGACTGCGCCCGAAAAGTCTAAGGATATACTGCTGAGGTGCATGGTCCTTCCTGCAAGCATGAACTGCAGCATTGTAGCAAGCCTGTCAATCAACCGTGCAGCCTGCGTTGGAGAACGCCATTGTGCCTCTATGACTTTATGCATTTCTGAGAACCCAACCTCGTTGAGCTGAATGCTGCAAGCGAGGCAATACTGAAGATGTTCCAGCGCATGTTCCCAATCACATTCCTGCGATGTCACCAACTGATACGAACATGTGTCACAATGGCACTCAACAGAGTCTTGACGCTTCGTTCTGTCCTTGCCACAGGCAGCAAGCACAGACGAGCAGTGAAACTCCTTCGCTCAATCGATACAATGCAAAAAAACATGCACGTGGCTCTCGCGTGCAAACGAGCATCGTTCTGCTGCAAATTCCCTTTGCGCAAAACCTCCAGCACCTTGCGATCTGTTGAAAATTCCATGCATGCATGTAGTTTTATTCACAGACGACATATATACACACATACACACGCATATGCATAAGCAGCAGCAGGCACCTATGTATGCGCAATCTTATCCGTCTATCAAATCTGTCTGGCTGTCCGCATACAATCATGCTTATGCACACTTGTATCTGTTCATACATGTTTTCGTGTGTGTCTGGTGCATACGTGTGGCATGGGCATGTACGCAAGCATGCACGTGTACACAGCATGCATCAAGGGCTGTCCGAATTGCACTTCTGTTCGTGGCTGTCGTATGTGTGTGTGTGTCTGCATGCACATCTTGCAGGATATCACCAAAAGCTGCATGTCCAGCTGTGTAGCCTATGCCTGGTAAGGGGACAGAATTTCAACGTGAGAGTGCTCAGATTCCATGTCCACCCAAGTAACAAAACATTCGTGTCAAATTCTCAGGTACGCGCCTGTATGACCACAAAACGCGATGTGTTGCCCAGTTTCACCAACAAGCTTGTTGCACATTGCGGATGGGATCGAAACCTGCGCAAGTCACTAGTCGACGATCATTGGTTGAAAATCGTTCAGCATGTCGTTCGACATAAGCCGTGACAGCGACAGAGAAGTCCGTCGATCTTGTTCCAGCTGCAACTTATGTGACATGCCCACCTCCCCAAGAAGGGTTGCAGACGGTTGGCAATGGCCGCCTCGTGCGCATCACAATCCTGTCTGCACGGATTCATCTTCTTGATGGAAACAACGGCTGTGCGATTCTTGCAACCCGCCTGCACCGCCCCCAAACCTGAACAACAAGGTCAATGCTCAGTCAACGCGAACGAATACATGATACGAATAGGTGCCTCTGATTTGGCGAGCAAGGTCACCCACAAAGTCGAGATCGACGTGGCGGTCGCAGACATGTCTGACCATGGACAAGTGGAATGACGCTCATTGTAGTGCCCGTGAGTGAGTACGTTCCAGAAAAGTTGCATTTGACTACAGCAAGTAAGTAAGTAAGTAAGTAAGTAAGTAAGTAAGCAAGTAAGCAAGAAATACGCATGTGAATAAGAAAAAGGACTTAATAGGAAAGAAAGCAGCTGAGCAAGTATCTAAGCAACTAGAAAACGAGCTTCCGCAAGTCCGTCGAAACGCATGCCGTACATCTTTGTGAATCAAGAGTACATAGCTTACGAAATAATGCATTCAGCCACATATGCATGCAATACAGCAGGTGTGAGACAACAACTGAGAACTGGGCGAGTGTGTCAATATGTCAAAACTACAACTCAATAATCTTTTACTGGAAAACGTACAGGTATGGGTTCACGAGCCAGAAAGTCAAACTGGAAACAGACAGCATGCAATCTGCCTTTCCAGTTTCGCATGCAAAAAGCTTCACAATAAAATCAAACTTGAAAGATTACTGAAGGCAACAACAAACGATGCTTTTGTCAAATGCCACAAGTGCCTCTACAGCAAGTACCTAGCAGCATTTCACATTACTTTCTGCCGCTGGATCCGCAACCGGGTGCCCAGACCCTTTGCTGCGACAATGACCAAAACGATGGAGCTGTTGCTAAGCTTCTTATGGAGTTGCAGGGTTTGACAAGTTCTTGCGTTAATTCCAAGACGTGAGTGTCAACCATGGCTTCCTATTTCGATACAATACACCATGAAACATGACTTTAAATCCGCATGTTGTTTCCACGCAAACACACATAAGTCACTTGAGTTGTGAGAATCAAAGGTTGAACCAGATGTGACAACACACTGTTCTCTCAGACACCATGGAATCTACACTGAACGTTAACATTTGGTTTTCTCGCCGACCCAGTGTCATTTTCCATGTTCTGATGATTCCATGCCATAAATTGTTCTTGGCCAAAAAAACGTAAAACTGACCGCGCGGAAAGATGGCATGGAACAAACTGGAACGTCCACACAGTTTATTTTACAGCATTTCGGTGGATCGAGACCGCAATGCGGTTTGCGTGCAAAATTCGACCCTGCCAGGCCGCATTATGGCCCAGAAGATTTTGCATTGACTTTGCGTGCACTTTCGGGCGTTCTAAAAAGCCAGCTCTGGGCCTCCTAGGAACGTTTCGAAGCAGTTCTGGGCCAGGAAGACTTACGCTATGAACAAAACAGCCAGAGAGCGGAACCTCGATTGGCGGGCCTATGTTATTTGCGACTGTGTTTCAGAGCAGGAAAGTCGAAGTTTCTAACGCATAGGTTCAGATTCTGTAGCGTTTCCGCAAGCCCACTTCTGGGTCTGGAAATTGTCAGGATTT